GGTCAAGTACATCAGCTTCAGACTCAGCGCCCAGGTTGGAATCCTGCTTGTGACTACAACCTTGGGCAAATCATTTTGTCTTTCTGGTTTTCTGTTCAAGAGAAAAGACAGCTAATAATACCACCTTGCTATAAAAGAGAGCTAATAATACCACCTTGGTTTATTTCATTATTGCAAAAAATAAATTTTAAAATGCATAGAAACATAAAGTGCTTACTTTATGTGTCAGCACTGGGCTTGATAAATGTTGCTATTATTAGTAGTATCATCAAATGAGAAGGTTGAGCCAGAAAATCTGTCAGATCTTTTCGTGACTCAAGGTACTAGGTCTCCAAATACTGAGACCCAAAAATGTGCCAATCCTGAAGTAACAGACTTGGGAATCACAGCATTTGTCAGAGTGAAATTAGTGACAGAGACTGCTCCTGAGGCCCCAAGAACTTTCCCTCTGTATTAACCGTGTCTTTTATTTTTAGATTTTTTATTTTTTGTATTCTGATGCTTTGACACTTGGGGCCTCACTGATTCTGGTGGGACTGACCCTCCCAGGATTAGCCAGTTTCTAGAGATAGTAAACAACTTACCGGAGCACTCTTTTCAAAGGCAAACCAACCAATCCAGAGCACACACTCTCAACCACCTCCATTTCAGGGCTTTCACACTCTGGGCCACTATCCATCTGCCCTAACCGCTCCAGGACTTACTAAGTGCCAGGCAACTGGGGGATCGCTCCTGTGTCCCAGAGCCCGTTGAAATTGTTCAAACTAGCTAATCTGAACCCTGCATACTCTGACCCTCCCATTCTTTCCTGCTTCCACAGACAGGAGGTGTAACACATTCGGGAAGTATAAATGTGTCTATTACTTGTTGAAATGCTTTATTTGAATGTGGACTGTTGCAAATCTACTAATCCAGTTTGAAGAATCAGAAAATCCCTATGCAGTGCATGACAAGAAAGCAAACCATCAAGTAGAAAACAAAGAGAGGTTTCCCACTCAGGATCTTCCTTCCTGATGTAGGAAAAATGCCACTTGAGGCTGGGCATGGTGGCTTATGTCTGTAATCCCAGTACTTTGGGAGACCGAGGTGGGTGGATCACTTGAGGTCAGCAGTTTGAGACCAGCCTGGCCAACATGGTGAAATCTCATCTCCCCTAAAAATATCAAAATTAACCAGGTGTGATGGCACACACCTGTAATTCCAGCTACTCTGGAAGCTGAGGCTGGAGAATTGCTTAAACCTGGAAGGCAGAGGTTGCAGTGGGCTGATATTGCACCACTGCACTCCAGCCTGGGAGAGAGAGTGAGACTCCTTCTCAAAAAAATAAAAATAAAAACAAAAATGCTACTTGAAAACCGGCCTCAAGTTTGATTTTTCTATAGCTGGAGGATTCCACTGACAACCAGGTTGAGATTTATTACAATTTTTGTCATACAACACTTACCTTGAGAAGAAGTATAATGTAGTAGAAATCAGACTAGCCCAGCTAGCAGGAGACCTGGACTTTAGGCTCCGCTCTGGTACTAACTGTAAGGTAAGGTCAAATCACTTAGCCTCTCTATATCTTGGTTTCCTAACTTGGCGGTTCTATCTGGGAGCAGTTTGAAATGAATAGAGTGATCCAAACTAAATCAATGTCTGAAACCTGTCTTGGTAGAGAAAATGGTATAGTGTATTAACCCATGATGACTTTCATACTGTGAAACCATTTTGCCTCTTTTCTTTGAAATGTATAATAGGCTAGGATGAAGATGATGTGGATTTTAATGAATTAGTTACACATAATATAAATGCATAAAAATACAATAAGTTGGGAAGAGCAGTTCACTGCTTGGTTATTAAAGCACAATGAGATGACAAGCCATCAGTGCTAAATATATTTCCAAATAAGTGATTTGTGAGAGTTGTTAAACAATCATAACTACCTACAACTAAATATTTTCCAGCACACTTACATTATAGCATAATGCAAGGATTCCCGGAATTATTATAGGAATGCCTATACTTAAGCATACCACTGTTGCTCCTCATCATTTCGTCTCCTGCATGCCTCCAATGTGAACTCTTTCAAAAACATTTTCAACATCCCAGATGCATCACTCAAGATTGCCATCTTCAAAAAAAACAACCACCACCATATTCAAGAAGACTCTCAATTAGAGCAGTGTTAGAATGTGATAGACCTAGCTTGGAATCCCCTCTTAGCCATTCACTATGTGCAACCCTGAACAAGTTATTTAATTTATTTAACTGTCCTATATGCAAATTTCTCAAGTGAAATAGGACAGTAATAAATTAAAAGTTTGGTTGTGAGAATTAGACATAAGGCATAGATAATGCCTAACATATGCTATGTATTCAATAAATGCTAGCTATGCATCATATTTATACAATTTAGTATTTGCTTGTAGAAGTACATAATTATTCAATAAGTATTAATTTCCCTTTCTAACTATACTGCAAGTTCCATAAGCATAAAATCTTTGCATTGTACTTCTTTTAAATGTTTCACAATCTAAAAGACCACAATAGTATATATAATAGTATACACTATTATATATACTATTGTAAAACCAATTTTCACACTCTTAGAATCAGATATGACTTAGGGGCTCCTAATGTACCTAAAGAGGAAGAAATTGGATTATGTTTTTATTGCAATAATATTAATGGTCATTAATCTACTATTGTGACTGACGAGGGGGGAAAAGTGAAGGATTCCCAAGTGACTGAACCCTGATGGGAGTGTGGGCATCCACAGAGCAGGAGAATGGAGGCCCTAGAATGAGGTCTCAGGCCTGACTGTCTATAGACTTAAAGAGTTTTATTTTTTTAAGAATCTAGTAGATTGTGGAAGATCAGAGACAAATTTGGAGAGAATAACATTTCAGAGACTTTTTCGTGAACTTACGGAAACTGAGCAGCATGAGGAGGTATTAGAGTAGAAGCAGCTCAGGGATCTGAGCTTTGGTTGGCCAGAGAAGAGCTATATTCATCCAGAAGTGAGATGTAGACATAAATAACTTATTTCAATGCCCCAAAAAAGGTAAGTGAATTAGCACTGGCTAGGGACCAGCATTGCTTTAAAGAAAATATTTTTAAGTGTGAAAAATAATTTATGTTATTTGAAATATATCTGATTTACATTAAAGTTAGATCATTTTGTACCTCAACAAAGAATTTCTGTCAAAAACCTACACTGAAAATTTGCCAGAAATTATAAGACTGGCTTAACACACCATGCTGATGTTTTATCTAAATGATTCTAACAACTATTTTTAATTATCTCTACAACAAAAAGAAGAGAAGAAAAAGTGGGGCTATCAACCAGAGGAATGATTGTTCTTTCATATTAGCAAAAAAACATTGTCACGGAGTTAAGGGATGTATAGTTTCCAAATTAATTTAATTTTCCATTCACCAAAGCCCCTGAGAATTAAGGAACCTTTCTTAAAACTAAATATCAAATGTATCAGATAACAATTGGGTTGCCTGCAGTTTAAAAGGAAGAGAATGAATCAGGACCCATACATGAAGCAATGGACAAAGCTTTTTCTGTGTACATACAGAGGAGTGTGAGATTGGTATCTACATTAATTGAGGTCAAGTTTCTGAAGAGGAACACTCCCAATAAAAATGCCTTTGGGGAATGATGGAGCAGGGAATATGCCCAGCCTAAGGCCTACTTGTACAAGTTCTTATGTGATGCATGCCTGTGAATTATAACGAGATTTGAGAGACTCTAGAGTTAGAATAAGTAAAACAGTAACGGCCTATTGTAAGCTACCTAAGAAGGTACCTGTCTGTGTATATACCTGCATCTTTAATTTTTACTTTAAATTTCTACTTTAATAAGACCTTTAAGATGTTTAAAGGTCATTCACTTTATACAGATTTTTAAATAAAGGGCTGTTTTCTTTTTTAAAAAAGTTAAAATCCTCTACTCTGGGATTTGTTTGTTTTTTGTTTTTAGCTTTCCATATTTATGAAGGGAGGCTTATTGTCAGTCCTACTGATCAGTCCTGGCACCAGCACCAAGTGGTAGTAGCTGTCGTAAATGTCTCAGAAGGAGGTAGAAAACACCTCTTGGGAACTGCCTGATTACACAGCAAACCAATTTGAGTGGCAGAGGTACAAAGGAATAGGAAAAAGATGCCAAAATTTACTGTAGAAACATTCTTCCTATGTACATATTATGATAGCCATAAAATATTTACTACATCAGTCTTTTTTGGTGTAACCATTTTTTTAAATTGGCTGCTTCATCTTTTATATTGCCTTGGACCTGCTATCCACATACATTTTCCTCTGTTTTTTGCTCACTGGTCTCCTAAATTTATCCCACCAGTTTAGCTAAGCTACCTCTGATCTTCTTCTGGGGGTAAGAGGCAAAAAGCTAGCCAAATGGTCTCAAAACTTTGGGAGAACCTTCTACTTGGTGAAGACCCTGTTTCAAATAAATATTTCATTTCATTTGTTTTATTTGCATATATAAACATAGCTCTTAGAGTTGAAAACAGTTTGCACAGTATAAATAGACCATCTTTGAAGTTCTATCTGGAGCTTTATGAAGGGTCTAAACCTACACTTTTCCTATATTTGGTTGTTTATCTTTTTCTTTAAAATGCCCAGGAAAGGCTGCTCTCTGTGACCTAAAAGCCCAGATCTACATAGTCTATTTTATAGATTACAAAAATGTCAGAGAAGGAGTCACAGACTTTCTCAAGGTTACACAGATCATAAAAGGCAGAGCCAAAGTTTTCCTTCCACCACCACCAAGATAGAGCACCACATGACAACAAGGCATAATAATTCACCCTTCATATCTTAAAGAGGCATCACCACTACTTTCTTTGAAACAGAATGTGCTGCAGCAAAGAGGCTGGAAATTGAGGCTTGTGGATGCCCTAGGGATAGAACAAGGCAGAAAGTTTCTCCCTTACACATGGATATGTTCAACACCCCAGCCTGAAGAACACTGCCAGTTCAAACACACTTACCCAAATCTGAAGCTTGATTCTCTTTTCATTTTTGAATACAGTTTTTACTTTGAAATCGATCCCAACTGTGCTGACGAATGCAGATGTAAAGGAGTCATCTGCATAACGGAATAGAAAAGATGTTTTCCCCACACTGCTATTGCCGATGATGAGTAATTTGAACATGTAGTCAAAGTTCTGATCAGAGGAGTCTTTCTGGCCATACCTGGCATCTTGGGCAGAGGCCATCTGTGATAAAAACAAAACAAAACAAAAGCAAAAGAGGTGTGAATCAGACCCTCATTTGATATGAAGCTAGCAGCATACTCATTATTGGCCTTGCCAGAAACAGATGTCAGACACTCAGGAGGCGAGTGGAGAGTGCTCCCCAGTCTTCCTCTGATATTGGTATCCATGGCAATAATTCCCTGCTGGAAGACAGAACAGCAAATCTTACAGGCCTTTCCAGCTGTGTTGGTGCATGTCACTGCTCAGCATTCAGAACCAATCAAAGACACCAAAGGGGATGTCTATAAGGGTAACATGACAAGCAAAGAGATGAGAAATTGGCCAGGGCATGTGGGCTCTGAAACTTTATAATCCTACTGACGGAGACACCAAGGTAGCTGAACAGCAGGGTATTTCTTCCTGAATTATCTGAATGATTCGAATCTCTCTTATTTCATAGGGAAGCACACCCAAAGCATATCTCTGCTTCATTTATTATCATATCAAATCAACATCCTAACATAAATGGCAGTGTTTTTTAAATTATAAATAATTATGATGGGAAATATATATAGTTCAAACAATGTGCCAGATACTGTTAACTTATTTAATCCCTCACAGTGACCCAATGAGATGGGTACTTTTAATATTGGCATATTAAAACGAGAAAATCAAGGCCCAGAGATATTAAGTAACTTGCTCAACTTTATACAGGTGTTAATAGTAGAGGCAGGATTCAAACAGGCAGTGTGGTGCCAGGGCTCATGTTCTTGACACCTGCCCTATTTCCAAATGACAACTAGGCAGGCATGCACAAGCGCCCTAGAAGATCATGTCAGAAATATTCATTGTGAAATGCATCACAGGAGAGCCTGACCTGGGTTCAAAACTTACCTCCACTGTGTGGAGCTGTGTGACATTGGTTTGTTATTTTAAATTGGTGTGCTGCAGTTTCCTGCCTTACATGAAATGGGAAAATATAATATCTAACTTGGAATTCTTGTGAAAATAATAGATGATACAACTGTAAAGTAGATATGTAAAGCATCTAGCATAAAATAGAAAATGGTCTCTACAATCAATTACAAATGCTTTAGGTGGATATTGGCTTTTATTTATCTTTTTTGATGATCATCTTAACATCTATCAAAAATGATGTTGCATTACTTCTAAGTACCATTTGGCTCAATATAGAAAAGAGGTATTTAGAATGTTGCATCCCACTGATTAGTACATTTGCTCAGCACATTTTCTGATGCTATAAATTATTTGGCAATTGTTATTGTGTTTAATATGGTAGCCACTAGTCACATATGGCGATTTAAGTTTACATTAACATGAAATAAAATTAGAAATTCAGTTCCTCAATCATAGTAGCCACATTTCAAGTGCAAAACAGGAACATATGACTAATGGCTACTGTACCGGGCAGTGCAAACTACAGAACATTGGCATAATTGCAGAAAACTCTATTGTACAATGCTAGGCTAGACAGTCTATTTTCCATTTCCCATAAAAGCTGATTAATAGTTACATCTCTCTCTTTGGGGTAGCGGTAGGAAAAGGGAGAAGCTCCAAGAGATGGCAAAATGTTAGAAACAGTAAACAGTGCTCAGCCTCATCTAGGACAACAACCTGTTGTCCTAGATGTCAGGGTGTGTGCGTGTGTGTGTGTGTGCACGTATGTTTACAGAAAACTGAGGAAAAAGGGAAATGGTGAGATAGTGTATTCCTCATCTACAAATACTTAATGCCAGCAAGATAATGCAATTTTATGTATAAGAATAAGGACAAACAAAAACCCGTGTGTATCTCATGAAAGTTGAGGATAATAAAGATTCAAATTGCATTTTACATTTTCTTATTAAACATAAGCTTAAGCATTTCTCTTTTTAAGTCTATACGGCTGCACAAATATATTTAGAAATTGTGAAAACCTGTAACAAATGCTTCCCAGTGGGCAGAGGTTGGCCTCTAAAAGAGGCAGATAGCATCACTTTCTTTTTTGGCCCACCAGCCCACATGCTAAGGTCAACTTTCCTCAACACATGCCAGCCAAGGGCAAAAGTAGGATTGCAACTCTTGACCACTAATTTGAACAATGATATCTTGCCATGATGATTTCTGGTCCTCCAGAAAGCCAGTTAACTGTTTTGTTTGGCAGTGCTATTCCTGCAGACATTGCCCTTTCACTATTTAATGCCCCTCTCCTATATGAGCTGCTAAATTCAAACAGGCCTAAAAATGGCCTTCATTAAGAAGATCCTTTTACCCTTTTTCATATGAACCAACCTGGATTTGGGGGTCTGGTAAGAATGTTCAGCTAAGCCACAGCCAGAAAAGGGTCACTATACATTTCCTAGAGCTGCTCACTTACTTGGCCTGATAGCTTACTATCTGTTGCACCCCTATAACCCTAAGGTGACATTCAAACTGAGGCCTGAGGATCTCTAGGATACCTCAAAAGATGTAATGAAGACTGCTACTATCAATTTCAGGTGCCATTCCAAAATTAGGTTGGTTTCAAAACCTGAAGAAACATAATTGTCCCTCACTATCTATAGGAGTTGGTTCCAGCACCTCCCATGGACACCACAATCTGCAGATGCTCAAGTACTTGATATAAAATGATTTGGTATTCACATATGCATATTCTCCTATATAGTTTAAATTATCTACAGATTACTTATAATACCTAATACAATGTAAATGCTATGTAAATAGTGGTTATTATTCTGTATTATTTAGGAAATGAAAACAGGAAAAAAAGTCTGTACATGTTCAATATACATGAAATTTTTTCCCAAATATTTTCTGTCTGCAACTAGTTCACTCCATACATGGGAACTCATGGATATGAAGGGTGAATTATATAGATATCACTAATATATAGTCTTTTGGAATATGACTGCATGCATTTAGATGAAGACAAGCACAACTGGGACAGCAGTATCTTTAATTTCAAGGGCTAATATACCTTGTTGTGTTAGCAACAAAGAAGGTAATGGGGGCAAAAGAGGGTGTCTAGGAGGGAGACAGAGCTGGTGGACATGTGTACCCAGCAAAATTCTTCTCAGGAAGAGCCTCTAAAGAATTAATTAGAAAAAGTTATTATCTCACTTACTCTTGAAGACATTTTTAAATACTATTTCCTAATTTAACACACCTAATAAGATTCACAAAGAGCCAAAAAGATATGCATTTGGAATGTATGTGTGTTTTTGTAAAACTTCAGAATAATGCAATAAATCCTAGCTCAGAGGACGAAGAAAGAAACAGCCCTAATCTTGCTGAGAACACAAGTGAAGCAATTTGACAGCATATGAATGTCAAAGAGGCTTACAGACAGGCGCTATGTAAGTTTACTGGCATCTCTAAATACTGAAGTCATGTGAACATTCTCAAAATTTTCATGGGGAAATATAGCTGAAATTTGAAAACAGGAACAGGCAAGGGGCACATCAAATTTCATAAAAGATGTACAAAAATGACTCTTCAAATGGTATTATTCTTGAACCTCAAATAACAAATAATCATAGAGTTGGAAAGAATCTTCAGGGCCATGCACTTCCCACCAACCCATGTCCCTTTCATGGCATCCATCATCTGAGGTTGTTGTCCTAGCTTCATCCTTCACACTGAGCAGCAAGATGTTCACTATGCTGTGAAGCAGCCTTTACAGCATAGAGAGAACTTCAAGCATCTGAAGGAACCCCTCAGGCTCCATAAGCTTTCTCTCCTCCTGCTTGGATGATCCCAACTGATTCATCCTCTCTTCCCAGGACATGTCTGAAAAATTGAACACCTCCTGCTAGGTTAAAACTGACACCTCTTCAGATTTTCAAAGTCCCATGTGTAGCTCTCATAACTGGTCACAATATTCTAGATATTTATCTACTTAGTGCAAAGTAGAATGAAACCATTATATCTTATCACACTTGACTTAATATAAAGTCTCCTAAAATGCCCATCACTATTTTCACATGACTATTATGAACATAGGTTTCTCCTATTCCCATTCTATATTTGACAACTTATTTTTTATGGAAGCGTGAACCTTTATGTGTATTCTGTTAAATTTCCTCTTGTTTGCTTTGATTTACAATTCAATTGTGATCTGACAGTCCCTTCATCAAAAATATTAGTTATCTTTTTCAGATTTGTGTCATTCCTAAATTTGATCAGTATGTATTTTATGTGTTCATCTAAGGCCCTCATCAAAATGTAAATCACTTTATAGACAAACAACAATTAACTTTTTAGCCTGTTGAATATATAAATCTATGGGTGAGACCGCAACAGAATGTCATTAAGGAATTCAAAATATGAAGCAAATTCTTAACCTTTGAAAGCTGGTGTCTTGGAAAGCCACTGTGTTGTTGGTCCAGGTAGGCCTTGGTTCAACAGCAGAGAATAGATCATGGATTTAATTGTTGTGTCATTTTAAATTTTAACTATTGTTTTCCCAGAAGTTCTACCGACCAGGAACCAAATAAGTTACCTCTGATTAACACATGTAACCACAGCCTCCTTCAGAGTTGTTCACATTTGTTTTCCAAATTAGATAGGAAAAAGAAATTATTTACAAGAATTCAATTGGCCACTCACAAATCTAAACTGCACTAAGCCATTCCGTGGATCTGATGAGGAAAAACAAAAATAAGTTCTTTCAAAGTTACTATATTTCATACTGATTGGGCAGAAGCATTCCCCTTGAAAACCAGCACAACACAAGGATGCCCTCTCTCACCACTCCTATTCAACATAGTATTGGAAGTCCTAGTCAGGGCAATCAGGCAAGAGAAAGAAATGAAAGGCATCCAAATAGGAAGACAGGGAGTCAAACTATCCCTGTTTGCAGACTACATGATCCTATACCTAGAAAACCCCGTAGCCTTGGCCCAAAAGCTCCTTAAGCCGATAAACAACTTCAGCAAAGTCTCATGATATAAAAATATCAGTGTGCAAAAATCACTAGCATTCCCATACACCAACCACAGTCAAGCTGAAAGCTAAATCAA